GGGACAAGAGTTACCGTGGAGCTGATAGGCTAGAAGAAGAGGAACCACAAGCTAAGAGCTTGAACGAGTTGAAAGCTTCAATGATGCCAACACAAGCTGTTAGAAGACTATGAGTGAGTTGAGAGCGAGTTTGGACATACACAAGCTGGAAGAGGACCACGAGTTGGTGAGCTGAAGGCAATGTGAAGGAGCTGTGAGTTCGACAAGCTGGAGCAGTGAAGATAAATGCAGTGAAGAATGTGTAAGTAAAATGAAAATTAAAGCTACTGCCTAGTCAATTTTTTTAAAAAAAACAACAAAGATAAAGGTGGCAATTTTTGAGAACTAATAGTCACTTCTGTCAATGTCTCAATTCAATATTTTCAACGCACTGACATATGGATAGGGTAAATAATGTATTAAAAATAAAATTTTAAATTCTACAATAAAATTACATATTAAAAATATAAACTAATAAAAAATATAACAAAATTCATATTTAAATATATGTAATTATTAAATAATGTACATTATTACTAATAATAATTTTATATATTAATTATTATTTTTAGGCACATATTACTAAATACTATATATTTCTATATTTAATATATCATTTTTTTAGATAGAGAGGAGGTGCTTTTAGGTTGAATAAGCGCCACCTCTCTCTTTGAATATAATAAAATATTATAAATAATTTCAGTTAAATAGATAACAATAGATATATGTATATTATAACAATATTAAAAATAAATGAATTATTAAATAAGGTTTGGTTGGAAAACTAAAACTTAATTAATAAATAAATACTATTTAACTATAAATTATCTTAATCATTAATTATCATATATAATATTCTATAACAAAATATGTACAAAAAAATAAAACTAATTAAAACTAATGTAATAAAATAAATATTTTAATATAGTTATTAGTAAGTAATGTAAATTATTGCTATAGGTAATTATATATATTATATTATAATAATTATTAAAATAAATAATAAATAATTCTAAAATTAATAAATAAATAAGTAATAAATCTTTATATAATTAATATCTAATATATAATTTTTTTAATACTTGAGGGAGAGAGGTAGCATTTTATTGTCCTATAAATGTGACCTCTCTTGTTAAAATAAATAAAATAATATACCTATTTAATTTCTAAAATAAAGTTAAGTATTCAAATTTCTAAAGCTAATTTATTATAAATTAATCAAACGAACATCTCAATTTATATTAGTTAAAAATGTATATTAGTAATCATAATTATTATATTTTTATTTAATAATAATTGTTAAACAAATTATTAGATATGGCTACAAATAATAATTTACAAAATATAAAATAATTATTTAATTATTATTTAATATATTATTTTTTAATACCTGAGGGAGAGAGGTGCCGTTTTGTTTTTCTACAAATTCCACCTCTCTTGTTAAAAATAAATAAAATAATATATGTAATTTATTTCAAAAATAATGTTAAGTATTCAAATTTTTAAAGCTAATTTATTCTAAAGTGATCAAATGTGTATCTAAATTTGTATCAACTAAGAATGTATATTAGTGGTGATAATTATTATTTATTTTATTAAACCGTAATTATTAAATAAAATACTAATTACTAAAATAATAATTTACAAAATATAATATAATTATTTAATAATTATTTAATATTTTTTTAATATTTTAAGGGGAGAGGTAGCATTTTTGTTTCCTACAAACGCCACCCTTCTCAATAAAAATAAATAAAATATTATATATATATATATATATATATTAAATATTAACAAAAAATTATAACCTAATACATAAAAAAATATGTAGCATTTTTAAATACCGGAAGCACCACCTTTATGTTTTATTTATCAAAAAATAATATATTTATATTTATTATTTACATAGTAGAAGTTGTTAATTTCTTAAATAAATTTTGTTATTAAATCACTAAAATTAATTTATTATAATGTAAAAAAATGATCAATATCTAAGTTTGTATTAGTTAAGAATATATGTAGATTAATGTTCATAGTTATTACATATTTTATTTAGTAATTTAAACAAAATATTATGCTTACAAATAATAATTTAAAAATATAAAATATTTATATAATTAATTTCTAATATATTAATTTTTTAATAATTAATTACAGAGGTGGTATTTTAGGAGTGAACAAAATGCCACCTCTCTCAATAAATACAAAAACATTATATATATTAATTATTAATAATTAATTATCAAAAAATTATAATTTGATAAAACATAGAGGCGGCGTTTTTTCAAATAAGAAACATGACCATTCTGACATGTATAAAAAAAATATGTTATTTAAATAATAAAAATAATTTAAAACTAAAATAAAATTATATGTTAATAAGTATTTTATATATTATTTAATAATAATTATTAAAAAGTAATAAATTACTTAAGATGAAGAATTAATACATATAAATTAATAATTTATAATTTTTAAGAGAGGTGGCATTTTCAAATAAAGGAAACGACGCCTATATTATTTTAAATTATTATTAAATTGTACATACTGATTATTTATACTAATTATATAATTATAATAAAATATTTATATAATATTAAAAAATAACATTATTATTTTATACTAAAGTAGAGAGGTGGTGTTTAAATATTAAAATGCCACCTAATTCTTAATCAACATAAATATGTGGCACTTCATTTAAGAAACACCACCTCTGAAAATTTACTATAATTATAAATAAAAAATTATAAGCTATGGCATTTGATAAAATAAACAACACCTTTATTTTTTAGATTTGAGATTAATAGCATTTTATTTTTTTATTGTTATGAAATACATGCTATTAAATATCATTTCTATAATAGTGAAAGCATATCAAAACTTCAACGAGTAACTTTTGACGTTTATATAAAATTTAATTTGTAAATGTACTAAGGCGAAAAGCCTTGTGCACTAGTCAGTTAAAAATACTATATATTTAATACTTTAATTTTTTTCGTTGTCATTAGTTCTTATAAAAATTAAGGTGTAGCAAACTCTATTATAAGAAAATATATCCTTTAGGGTGGCATCAGGTTTTCAATTGCTCAACAAATTCTAGAGGATTGGATATACCGATTACAATGTTATCCTCGTTCAAAGTTGTAAAAATACAAACTACATAACAAAATCAGTTACTCATCATGTAATTGTTGTTATTTTTTTTCCCTTTTACGTAAAGAAAACATTTTGATCATTTAACCTTTTTAAATATCAATAAAGGATTGAGGTTCTTAAATTTATCTTTTAAAATAGGGAGAATAGCAATAAAGTCTCAAAAAAGAAATTAATAACAATAAGGTTTTCAACTAATTTTTCCTAAAAAATAAATTGAAAATATTGATTTAAATTGTTACAAATTGCAAATTGATTGCTATATTTAGAATTTAAATATATATTTCATCTATAATTAAAACTCTTGAATTTTCAGTTACTTAAATTGATATTAGTAATTTATTTTTTAAAAAATTAAAATTTAACTATCATTAATTCACATATTTGAGACTTAATCATCATTATTCTTTTTGAAATCTTGTGGTCCGAAAATTTTATTATTATGTTTTTTTGCCTTAAAGGTTCATTTTCTATAAAGGTGCTCAAAATCAATTTAAACCGATTGCACCAAATTAAATCGAACCAAACCAATATGAACTAATTAAAAATTAATTATTAATGAGGTTTGCTTTGGTTTTTCTTTTGATAAACCCCATTAGTTTAATTTAGTTTAGTTTTTTAAAAACTTGAGCTCAACTAAACTAAGTCTTATTATATTTATTATATATATATATATATATTAATTAATTTGTCTAGGTTTTTTTTCCTTCCCAAGTTTATTTGTTTGTAAATCATTAGTAAAAATTTTTTAGAATTAGCTAAATGTTATCTATAGTTGTTTGTAATGATTTTTTTAATTTTATAATCAATTGTCTTAAAGATAATATATTGAATTTTAATGGTTAAATATGTTTATTAATTGTTTAACAAATATTCTTTTGTGTTCAATAGTTTTTTTTCATTGCAAATAGTAATTAGTAGTTAAAAATTATCATTCAACATGAATATATGTTGATAATTATAAAGAATATCTTATAAAAAAGTTTAAATTTGATCTAAACCTAAACTAAACTAAACTAAACTGAACCAAATCAATTAGATAAAAAAATCAAATAAGTTCCAAACCATAATGAATCGATTGGTTTGGTTCAATTTAATTTTTGCTCAAAATCAAACCAAACCAAACCCATCTCATGAACGGATCTAAATCCTCTTAGCATCGTCCTCTCTCAGCATCCCTCAGCATCCAAATCTCAACCATTCAATAAATATCTAATGTCCCATATTTTGCCACATCATCTCATGTAAAAATAATTTTGTTTTAAAAAATAATTCTTTCATTAAATTTATTTTTTATTGCATTTTATATTTTCAAAACTTGTTCTAAAAAATTACCTTACAAATTTTTATAAAGGGACTTATAATTCAGTCTATTTAAACTCTAACTTGACTTATTTAATAAAAAAATATGTTTAAAAAATCTACATATTAAATCAAACTATAAGTAGGTATTTATACTCTAACTTATTCAAACTTTGATATAATTTATTGGATAAAAATTTAATTAAAAAATTTATAAAATAAGTTAGATTATAAGTAGATATTTATAGCTTGATTTATTTAAACTCTGACGTAATTTTAAAATTGAGTTTACATCTCTCTCTGCAATTCGTTGGATGGGGTATGCACTATTGCGTGGGGCGTAATGCTCCTGCCACTATCTCACTATCGAGTACAAATCCACAAAAGGAAATAAAACGAAGAAAGTTTCCTGCCTTCGTCACGAGTAATTATCCTTCTTTCATGTCACCCCAAAAAAAAAAAAAAATCCTTCTTTCACTAAAAAGTTCGTATCCTTCCCCTCCCACCCCGCATACCTCCTCTCCCTCCCTCCCTCCCTCCCTCCCTCCCTCGCTCTCTGTGTTTGTTCGCTTATGGACGATTTGTAGATGGGGTTCATCTTCATCACATCCTTGCCTAAGCTTTCTTTTCAGCCAGGGATGATTCCTGATTCTTGGCCGATAAGCGTTATCCTCTTTCTTGCAATCTTGCATTTCCTCTTTTAGACAACTAATTTCCTCCTTTAATTTTCTTTTCCTGTAATATTTTGGTGTTTCACAGTAAGATTCATCAGCTTGTTCTGATTAAAAGCCCTCTTTGTTCTCCAAGGTTTCTCCTTACTTCTTTTCTTACGATTAGTTTTCTGTATTGCTTAATGGATCTGAGATATTGATTTTCTACTTCTATTTGGGAGAGAATGAGCCACTGCATTTCCCTTTTCTGATTGGACACTAATATTCCTTTTGTTTTTTGTTACGAAATATTTAGTAATTTATTTTCTGCAGAGTCTGAATCTTTTCCTGATTTTTGGGTCTATTTTTGCATAATCAGGAAATGACAAGACAGAAGATAGAAATAAAGAAGATCGATAACATAACAGCGAGGTAAGTAACGTTTTCAAAGAGAAGAAGAGGGCTATTCAAGAAGGCTCATGAACTCTCTACTCTCTGTGATGCTGAGATTGCTCTCATAGTCTTTTCTGCTACTGGCAAGCTCTTTGTATATGGTAGCTCAAGGTCTCTCCTTCTCTCTTCTTTTAGTTTCCTTTTCATCACCTTGATGATATACAGTTGAATGCTTTTTCCAGAAAATTATTTTTTAATTTTCATTCGTATCTGCAACATTCGTATGTCGTGTAATTGTGCTTATTAATTCAATTTCATTTTAGGCTTATTAATCCAGACTAACAGGAGATTGACTACGAACGTGCTTGCTAGAGAATTTTCGGTAAAATTTTCAATCCTCATGGATTTAATCTGCAGCTCTCTCTTTTGAGAAAATCATCATCATCATCATCTTGGATGACTTGCTTGTTATGAGAACCCACCCTATCCAGTTCTGTTGATTAATTGCAACCATGAATCTATAAATAAGACAGACTTGAGAAATATATTTTCAATACTCTGAACCTAAGGTTCTGGCATAATCCAACATAAATGTATATATCCTGTCTTTTCATCATAACAGAGGAAAGTGACTTTAAAAACTAATCATTTATTGTTTTGATTTGTAACTGCAAAGATAATGCCAACATGATGTCATGTTTGTTATAGTTAATTCATGTCCAACATGCCTGCCTGTATGTATCTTCGTTGTCATAGATACAAATGATAGTATACAAGCCGCTGGACAAGAGGATTCTTTATTTTGAATGAGACCTTTTGACCATTTAAGAAAAAGAATTGTTTAGTGTTCAGCTTGCCTGAGAAAAAGATGGTGCTTAGGGTAATATCTGATTCACAAACATGATTAATTTTCAGAAGAGAAAGCTCTTTCTGGATGTTCATTTAGGTATAATATTGGCATTATACTCAACGCATTGATATAATAATCTCTGACATCACAGTATATTTGTGAACGTTAAATTTCTGTATGTGCATGCGTATTTGAGACATTTGTCATGCCCACACGTCCATAAATACTAAAATTTGCTTTGGATGAAATCTACTCCGGTTGTCTATTTTGTTGTTTTTGCTTAGAACGTTTAATAAATTTTTGAAGAAGTTTAGATTAGTAATTAACAACGGAAGTGAATAAAAAAAGTGAGCGAAGTTCAAAATATTTACGACGGGTAGCAAAATTCTGAAACTACTTTGTGAGATTTGGAAAATTATCCCAAATCTTTGTTGGTGATATCAAAGTTAAAACGCCCCTTTGAATTATATAGAGGAGATCTATTAATTTTCCCGTCCAAGAGTTATAATAGTCCGATTCAATACACTGAATTTTGAAGCTTTTGTTCTTGGATACGGTACTCTTCATTTCTGCAGACTATCTTTGAAAATTACCAGGATTAAATTGATTAGAATCAATGGAAACTCATAGGTTAACGAAGCTCTTTATAGTTATCCCTTTTACTCATCTTAAATCCATTAATTGTAATCATGAATGAGTTTGCGTCAGGAGATATTCTGATCAGAAAGTAACTCACTATATAGGGTAGTGTTTGGGTCTTTTCCCCCTCTCTTTTCATTGAGAAAAAAAAAAAAAACTAGAATATTGCCACCATTATATCATAAATTACAGACGCAATTAATGCAACGTATTTGCATCATTTCTCTGCTTGACTGGTTTAAGAGTTGCCATTCTCTACATCATTTTAAGATGATTAATCTTTAACATGAACTGGGATTCAATAGTTTTTATATAGGTCTCATGTGTGTTGAGAGTTAAGATGAAAGGCGAGAATATTTTATAAAAAATCCGTTAAGAATTTGTTTACGTATTTTAACAAGTTAAATCAAATTATTGAGTTGTGATCATCAAGCATAGAATTATACAGGAGTGTGATCCCTTAATCATTACATTCTTGTAGTGCAGGTAACATATAATTTGTTTATGTACTTTTGATTCTTGATTAAGGTTTACGTTTATGTTGTTCAAAATTGTGGGAGGGTCATCTACTTCAATAAATTTGTAGGTTTCTTTTTGTTTCTTGTTTTTCTATTTTGTGTTTTTAGGACATTAGAGAATGGGGGGATTTATTGGAACAGAACTTCTCGAAGTTCTACATTGAGTGAGAGTTTAAGGGGCCAAGTGAAAGCATCCTAAAATTAGCTAGAGAGAGTAATATAATTTTAGTTGCAATGTTGAGGCTTGCATTTGATTGCATAATTACTGCTTTTAACGTACAGCTTTTATTTTTGCTGCTCATTTAATTTTAGTCATGCAAAATTGTTCAATATGCCCATCACTGCAGAGTTTAAAGAAGCTTGAATTTGAAATGATTGTGCATATACCGGAACTTAATGAATATAGAACGATTCAAGCGGCTGGATGATAATAATAATAATAATAATAATAATAATAATAATAATAATAATAATAATAATAATATGTACGTACGTATGTATGAATGTTATACTGTGTTATTCTCTTGAAGAACCTTAAATACTAACATTATACTGGTAGGTGTAAGATTTCATGAACAAGCTGTGTTTTCGGTTCTTATAGTGTGCAGCAGGTTATTGAAAGGCATGATCAGCACTCAGAAATTGAAAGATTATACCATTCATCTATTTTGGTAATATCATTATGCATAATTGTTTTTACTTACGTTTTTTCTCAATATTTTCACTCCTTTTACTGCTTTCAATAATGTAAACAAGCACGAGTCTCTTGCATCACACTTAGTCTAAAAAATGAGTTTCCCTTCTTGGTGCAGCATATAAAAGCTTTTGTATTATATATAGATATATAAATTGTTTCTGTCGAATTGTCCTGGCTAGTACATTAGTTCTGTTCTCTAGGATTTCACAAAACTTGTCGCTTCTCAAGTTTCTTGATAATTTGTTTAATTACGTTGATTTTTTTCTCTTTTCCAAGTAATACAATAAATTAATTTATAAAGCAGCAGCAATAATGATAAAATATTTGGAATTCGATAAGATGCATTAGCTGCTAACTTACCTACAATGAAATGAAAATTCACTTCTAGTCATTTATTATTTTCATTGCTATGCCGAATTATTTAAATAAAAAAATTCCTAAGCTGTGACTTTCAAAGGACTCAATCTTGGTTTCATAAGGATTGTATATAGGCTGTGCCAGGTTTGACCCAATTAAAAAAAAAAATGCTTCAATTTCCACAACAACTAGTCTTATCCCATTAATGGGATTGGTTACATGAATTGTATGACACTTGTGTTTTATCATCAACCAAGCTTTTACTAATTTTATTAAGAAGTTTCAATCAACAACTTTCATAAATATTCTTTTTGGTCTTCATTTATCTCTTTTGATAAGGTTTAAGATTATTCAGTCCACTCTTCTCACTGGTCCTTCTTGTGTTATTCTCTGAAAAATAAAGGATGAAATGATGTTGAAAGAAATCTATGCGCTGCAGATAAAGGTCAATCACATTCAAAACTTAATTGTTGAAATCTCATTTATGTTTGTTTAGTTACAACTTCTTTGAGCTTGAAAACAATTATCATCATCAAAAACTTTCCTACCCTTTCCCATTCATGCATGTAGAATTTGAATCATTTTTCCATTTTGTCTTCTTGAATCAAGGATAGTGAATGTTCTCAATTTGAATCCAAGACACTTGTAAAATTCAGTGTAATTAGTAGAAATTAATGTTTCTTTTGGCCTCGGAAAGATATGTCTCAATGTTTGATCCCTTCTTAAATAAAACTATTTATCAATTTCTTGAATTAAGAATACATATTTAGTCTTCAAACCTGACAACTACATGATTCTGCTACAGAATATTTGACCGAATAAAAATAAAAGGGGACAATGAGTCTTTTGGTTCTTCAAGTTTGCCTTAGTTATCAATTTGGCACTTGAAGTTTAATCTATATTAATAAGTCCTTAAAGTTTCATAAGCATACACAATTAGTCCTTATAGTGTTATTTCCCCTTTAAACCTTTGGGCCTTTTTGTCAGTGATTATGAAACTTTAGAGACTTGCTTAATAAAAATTAAATTTTAAGGACCTAGTCAATAATTAAGGCAAATTGGAGAGATCAAAAGTTTCATTATCTCAAGTAAAAATATCCATTAAAATATGCACCATATGGACTAGAATAGCGAGTCTAAGACTTCGATGGGTTGTGTATTCCTTGTGTGCGTGTGTTCATTATTTAGTCCATAAGTATTAAAACTTCATCGTATCTAGCTTTTACGTACCCTCACTTCTCTTAAAATGCTACTTGTTTTATACGTGTAGAGATTCCAGTTGATGGAAGAGAATCAGCGATTAAAATAGGTAATCAACATTTTGAAGTATTTGCATTTTTAAATCATTAATGTCTGTCATTTCCAATGTTCATAAAATTAGACTGGGTGTTGAACGGGTTAAGATATTGATTTAAAGTTTATCGACCTGTTGATGGTTTACCTTCTGTTGAACAATTCATAATTGAATTAGTTTATTTAAACTATAATTCCTCCGTCACTATTTACTTGTCCTTATAGGAAAAAATCTATGTGCAATGTAAGAATTATTTTTTCTATTCCAGGTTTGCCCTCCATTAAACAGGGGTATTATTGAAAACAAGTAATAATTATACCTCAAAATTCGGACCAGGACATATTTAGGTGCAAAATGAAAATGCAAGTCAGGACATGTAAATAGAGATGCATATATATCATGTGGGATAAAAGAGCAAATTTGGCTTTAAATTATAGGTTCAGGTATGTTTGGGATCTTAAATTTATTTTTTGTGTAATATTCTTCTCCAAATTTTTGAAACAATGCAATGTAGCTATTATAATCAACAAAAGTTAACTTTAACTTGTCATTAGTTGACCAATAAATGACAGAAAATGATCTCATAAATAATAAAAAAATTATTTTTTTATCATTTTTTTGTTATTTTTTAGGTTATTATCTATAATTTTTAAATTTTATACTATAACTTTTTGGATCCCTTTTTGTCTGAAAATGACAGTGTTGACATGAGGAAAAAGGCTCCGTTAGAAGCAGTGATTAATTTCCTTGGAATGTGACTTTTTTGTTTTTTGTCTGTGGCGCATTTAATGTTGACAAAAGAGGGAAATAAAAGACGACATCATTGGCAGGAAACAAAATGAAAGAAGCAAATGGTGCCGAGGTGTGATTGATTGAAGGCTGAGGATGCATATGACATAAATCAGCCTCTCATGGGAGGGATTGACAAGTTTTGATTGATCACGTTTTTAGACAAATAAATTTTTTACTAATTGGCTAATCTATCAAACAAAATTTGAAGAACAATATTACATCAAAAATAAGTTTAAGGTACCGGACAGATTTATAGTTTTATGAGTCAATTTGTTCTTTTGCCCTATAATATATTATATAAAAAAAGCAGTTTTATTTTTTTTCTGTTATTGACCAAATTTGACTGACTATTATATGCAAGCTTTTGAAGCATTTTAGTTCAGAGGAAGGTCCACTTCACTGGTTCTCAAATTACTTAGTTTTAAATAGGAGTCTTATAAAGATGGAAAATGTGTGTTTAGGTGAGGAATGCTTCACAAGAACAAGATCAGTCATCTGAGTTGGCCAACATTGGCCGCGTATTTGACCCTCCACATGACGATGATAGTTCAGACACTTCTCTCAGATTGGGGTTAGTATGTATAACTTGTTTAACTGGCCATTCTTGAGTTTTCTGATAATCAAGCGTAGAATTGTTGTTAATTTCCCATGATATTAACTTGTTTAATTGTTGTTAGTATATATAGTAATGCACTTGGTATTCCATGATGGCTTGGTTTTATAGAAATATAACGAAGTACATGTTAGCACTCAGATCTTCAACAGTTTGAAGGAGAATTGAAGTCACATGTTGATAAATGAATTTATCTTTGTCAGTGCCTTATATTCTCAAATATTGAGTATTGCATGTGTTAATCAATAAGTAATGGGGAAAATTAAAATGCATTTTTAAATTTTAGGTTGTGTTTGGATTGATGGATTTGAATTTAAATTTTAAATTTAAAATCCTTTATTTAGATAGTATAAAAAATGTTAAAGGTGAAAGAGAGTCAAGTTGAGATTTGAAAAAGAAATGGAAGATTGAAAGTTGTGAGCTTTCCTTTATTCTTCAATTGGTGAGAAATAAGAACAGGAAATGAGAGGAAAGAGGAGAGTAACAAAAGCATTGATAGTGAAGATACTAGAAATTAAAGAAAATTTGAAATTATAAAAAAAAGTTATAATGAAAGCATGGACTTAGATTTGGATTAAATCTAAATCTATAAACTTTTATATGTCCAATTGAAGGATTTGGTTAAATACAAACCCTAATTCAAATCTTCTTGCATCCATGTTTAGCATAAAAGTATTTTTATGAGTTACGGGGCACCGTGAGGAGAATTGTAGAGCACTATATTATATAAGCTCTTCAACTGTTAACTTTCAAAATTTAACATTGCATTGATTTTGAAATGTTACTTGCCACATGTATCCCATATAACTTCTCTAAGAATATTTTAAGGATAAAAACACACTTTAACTCAATATGTGGCTGGCAAGAACCAGTTGTACTGTAAATTATAGTTTTCTAGGGCTTCTGGTCTATAACAAGTTGTGTGTGTGTTTGTAAGAGGATCAGATGGATACGTGGCATGCAAATTCTTAAAGGTTATTTACTTCAGTTTATTTACTATCTATGTTGCAGATTGTCTTTATTTAAATAAAATAGAGATGTGATGCACTATAGGGTAGAGCCAGATACTCTGAAGTTTTCACCCTTTATAGGTGAAATTTAACCGTTGTGGGAGTTTTTTTCCCGTTATTTCAAAATTTGAGTTTTGCTTAATCCATGTTAGTAGGTGTTGATTTGATAAATATGTATATATCCAAGATATTGTATACTTGTATTTAAAAATTGCAAGATCATCCTTGACACATTAAGAGATTGTTTACAATTTAATCCAATTGGTCAGATTCCAAGTCATATATGCACAAATGGGCCAAGTCAACACCCGCTACAGTGATGGCTACTTGATATGGTCATGATAATCCATATTCTAAAAGAAAAAGTAAAATTATATGTATTACTGTTTATTCAATATTTACTGATATGATGACTATATAAAATTAATATGGATATCTATTTTTCAGATTGTTGTTATACATTTGCTGAATGAAGTTAAATTTCCCCATGCAATTCGCATACAACACTTAATTTGAGATCTTAACGGTTATATGAGTATTTTATGAGTGTAGCTTGAAGCAACCTGAGTTCAATTGGGTGCAGTTTTTCTAATGTATTTTTAATCCACAAGGTTTGGACTCTTGAACTTACATGTTTATTAAGAGAATCAAGTTCTTTTTACTCAACTTAACAATGTTTAATTTGTTGCCAAAAGAATTAAACAGACAAGCATTTTATACAACTTTTAGTAACTAGATTGACTTTTTATACATGCATCCCTAAAATTTTGAGAAGCCGAAACCTATATTATTGTTTTAATTTTTTTTACAAGTACTAGGTTTTATACAAACAGTTTAATAACGATAAAAAATTATTATAATCATAAAATTATTTTGAAGTGATGTGTCGTTCATTAAAGTTGTTAATTGGATAATTGTCCATGAATAAGTCACCAAAGAAAATACTTCATTTGGCCGAAAATATAAATATTTTTAATAATAATTCAAGAATCTACTAAAATTCTTATTTTGATAAAAAAAATATATTGTTTTCTTTATTACATTTAGTTTTAATTTATTATAAATTCAAAAACACATGGATTTAGATTAATAAATTCGAGAGTTGAAATGAAAAAAAAAATTACAAGTATTAAGTTACTTATATTTTCAATCAAAATTAATTGAAAGAAAATGCTTATATTTTAGACTAGAAAGAATAAATATCAATATTTTTTAATACAAAAAAATAATTTTATGAAGATTTCATTAAAATATCCTTGTTTTCATTAATTTTTAATGTCTACGTTTAAAAATGAATTGTTTAAAAAGAAGAGTACAGCGATTAATAAAAAAATATTCAGGCAAAAAATAAAAAAAATTAAGAAAGGGAGAATTTCATTTAAGATTATCTAACTGCATTTAATAAAAAAAGAAAGACCCTTAAACTTTAAAAATTCACTTCAAACTAGGAATAATGAAGTGAAATTAAAATGTAAAATAAAGTTACCTCATTGCCTCCCATCCATTTTGATTTTTTATCGAAATTATTCATTTGTCTACATGAAGTTATTCATTGATTTATATGAAGTTCAATAATAGCACAAACAACTCCTATAGATTGATAAACAATTTGATGTAAGGAAATGAATGACTCGTTTTACCATGATTATAACAATTGAAATAAAATTAAGATTTATTAATGGCACAAATAATTCCTATAAGTTAATAAATAACTTCATGGAGGTTAATGAACAACTTGATATAAAGAAATGAACAACTTATTTTATCATGCATGATTAAAATATTTAGAATAAAATTAAGATTTAATAATAATGCAAATAACTCTTCTAGGTCAACAAACAATTTTATGCAAAAAAATGAATAATTTTAATAGAGAATTAGGGGGATGAGGAACAATAAAATAATTTTACTATACATTTTAATTGTACTTCAATAGCTCTGGTTTGAAATAATTTTCAAAATTTAAGAATCTTCTTTTTAATTTTCATCAAGTATGATTAAGGGATATTAAATGAAAATTTTCCTTTAAGAAGCTGTGAGTCACAGGATTGATGCGATGGAAAAAGAAAGCGTAATAGTGCTAGCTTAGGAATTTGTTCTTAAATTTGTTTTCTCCATGAAGCAATGCCTAGGGCTATGTGCAGAAATATTGAGAAGTATGAGGGTACACAAATATTAGAAAGAGAAAATGATAATAAAATCTTTCTAAAATATGTAAATGACAATTTGATTTTTTAAAATGTCATAATTTTTCAGAAGTCTGTAGGAATTTTTCTATTATTAAAAAATTTATATAAATTACTAAATTGTTTTTGTTGAAAATAAATGATTCATAAGTTTTGTTTAAATATTTACAACTTTTCTTTTTATATTAGCAATAATGCAATAACAAATTACAAATTTATATATTAAATTCCTTATTTACTGTTGTATTATTGTAAATATAAGAAAAAAAGTTGTGAATATTTAAACAAAACTCATGAATCATTTATTTTCAATAAGGGCAATTTAATAATTTATATAAATTTTTTAATGATAAAAAAGTCCCTAAAGACTTTTAAGAAATTATGACATTTCAAGATATCAAATTGTCATTTATATATTTTAAAAAAATTTTATTATCATTTTTCTTATTAAAAACTCAGGCCAGCCATGGAATTGTGGTTTTTTGTATGGTCAAGCCAAGTGAAGTCCACGTCATTAGCATAAAATATAAATGGTCAGACACAACTTCCACAAACTGCCATCTCCATGCCATGCTCATCTCCTAGCGCTCCATTTTAGCTTAGAATAATTTCTGCTCTCCATTTAAATTAATTTTTAAATATTTTTAATATTATATTTATTAAAATAAAAAATTTAAATTTTTAATAAATTTGTTCATTACCAATACAATTCCCATCTCCACCTAATCTAAGAAGAATAAGAAGTTAGGTTTTCAAACCTACCGCTTAATTTTAGTGAAAGAAACTAGTTTAATATAATGAAATAAGATTTAAATTCTTATTAAAAAAATTTGTATTTAATATTCAACTGTATTTTAAATAAAATTGTCCTGAAAAGAAGTTAGGTCTTCAAAATTTAATTAATAATCAATGAAATAGGGTAGGGCTATCACTAAATGTTGTGATAGATGAGCTAAAAATAATAATTTTAAAAATTATAATTATAAATAAAATATTTAAATTATAAATACAACTCTCAAATTGTTACGGATCGTTTTTGTTTATAAATATCTAATTGATTTTTGCAATTTTTTAAAAAAATTATAAAAAATTAAATTGTTCTTAATTTAATCTTTCGAAGCTTGGATTGAAAACTGCAATTTCTCCATCTTTAACACCCATCAGTTTATAGTATATTCCCTTCATCCAATGTATGAGTTACTTCTAATTACATTAATAAAACTAAGAAGATGTAGTTAAATTGAATATTGATATTGTTTGAAAAAAAATTTCATATTTATCATTATTAAATGCATCCTCTTTAAAAATGTTTTCTTTCTTATATGTAATATTTTATTCTACTCGTGAGAAGAAAACAATTGATGACTCTAAATATTTTTATATGTTGTTAGGGAATTTTGGAGTCAATTTAGAGTCATATAAGTAATTTTGAGGGAAATAAGACAATCATATGCGGACAATAATAATAAAAAATGCTTTTGAAAATGAGAAGGGAAAGTTGATAGCATTCTATTGAAATGAATTAGTTACTTGAGTTAAAATTACAATAATGATGTTATACTATGTGTAAAGTGGTCCAAATTAGGAGTCAAAAACTGTAAGTAAAGATTGAAAATAAATTCAAAAAAATAAACAAAGAAAGAAATTTATGCCATAGCATAGTTACATTGCACCGTAACATGATTCTTTGGTCATATAAAAAAAACCCAAGACCATATATGCCACAATGTTCTCCCTGCATGCTAGAGCGTAATAGCCAGGGACGATAGCAAAATGATCTTTGCTGCAGTGTAATACAAATGCACCGTAGCATAATCATCATCTAGTGAAACACACTGCTTTGTTGAAAATTGGTATTTTTAGAGTTCTAAGGGTTGGAGTTTGTTATTCTTCATCTCCAGTAGCGAAGGAACATCCAAGAGAGAGTGAAGAAGCCACGGATGAGGTGAAGTTTAGGTTTCATGAGAGACTAGTGGTTTTTATTTAAAATCACTTCGATTAAGCTTTTGTTCTCCTTTTTTTCTTTGTTTAGATGTATAGTTTATTGATTTTTTGTTATTTTTAGAGCTATGTGTGGCTAATTCTCCTTAAACTTAGAAGAGTTATAAACTTATTGATGGATTAGACTCTTTTTTACCTATTGGTTATGTTTAAAATTGATTTTTGATTACTCAATCTTATATTTAAATGTCCATTTAATGTTTGGCCATTATTGAATATGATTTTTTCTTAAAAAAAAATCTCATTGAAACCATTAAATTGAGAAACACAGGATTGGATTTTCATTTAATTTGTAATTAGGATAAATATATATCTAATTATCCCATATTAATATGTTGCTTTTTATACAAGTGGTTTGATGGATTATGAATTTAATTACATATTATTAAATTCACTTTTTTTTAATTTTTACTCAATCAAATCCAATTTGTTTTACTTAACCTGAAAGAAAATGGGAACTGTATCACTCAATCATTATTTTGTTTGATTTTTCATGGGAATGACTGATACACTAATATATTGCATGCTGATTCATAGACTTATGATGTTACAATTTATGTCCATAAATAGTCACTGATATATCTTTTTTATATAAAAGTAACTTATAAAAAGGATCATCAATAATTTTTCAAAATGACTTACATATAAAACCAAAGGAAATATGTTTTTGATACTATTTACATATATATTATGAAATACAAGGCAAAAGGATACATTTGGTCGTTTAGTTTTACATAAGAGTTTATTTCACTTTATTAATTTTTGTAAGTATCTTTTCAATTTTTTAACCCTACCATTATTAATTTTATTGAAAAAACATTAACATTAAACTTTTAAATGTTAACAAAACATTATTAAATATTAATATATTAAATTTAATTTTTTAAAATAATAACAATTGAAGCAAAAAATCATCCTATAATAACCTAAGCCGGCGCTAAACTACAAAATTGATTTAGACTTCGCTTATTTTGGGGTACAATTTAGACTTAGCTAATCATTATTTTTTTGGGGCAGAAACTTAGTTTTTTCTTTTTTGAATATCAACTAAATTAATTGCTGACATGTCAAAGCTTTAATAAGTTTAACCCATTAGGCCTAGCTTGGCCCGTTTTGGCCAAAAGGTGTGTCTCTTTGTTTGTAAGTTGTAAGTCTTTTGACTCTTATATGCACATTATTTAATTTGTAAATGTACTAAGGTTAGAAAATTTCAGTCCACAAGCTAGTTAAAAATACCATGCCTATTTAAAAATTTGTTTTGAAAATAATTTTCTATTTTTTAAAATAAAAAAATTGTTTAGTAACGTGTTTTCAAAAAGTATTTTAAAAAATAGAAAAACAAAAAATATCTTTTAGATGTTTTGGGATTATGGTTTAAGAAAATAAGAAAGAATGAGAAAAATACATATTTTTATTATTTATTTTGTTTTCAGAATATGTTTTATAAAACACCAGTTTTTAATATAATAAAATAGAGATAGTTTCAATCAAGCCTCATATATTTAATGCTTTAATTTCTTTTCCTTTCCATTAGTTCTTATGGAAATTAAGATTTAGGAAACCCTATTATGAAAAAAAATATATCCTTTAAGGTGAGATCACTTTTCTGAGGACTCAACAAGTTTTAGAGGATTGGATACACTAATTACAATGCTACTCCATATTCAAAGTTGTAAAAATACTAAATATATAGCAAAATTAGTTACTCATCTTCTTTAGCTTGTTGCTATTTTTTTCTTTTATGCGAAGAAAACATTTTGACCATTTGACTTTTTTAATTATGAATAAAGGATTAAGGTTCTTCATTTTATCTTTAAAATAGGGAGAATAACAATAAAGTCTTAAAATATATATTTATAACAATTAGGTTCTTGACTAATTTTTCTTAAAGATGAATTGTAAATATTGATTCAAATTGTTACAAATTAAAAATTGATAGATATATTTAGAATTTAGATATATGTTTTATTCACAATTTAAACTCTTGAATTTACAATTACTTAAATTGATATTTGTAACTATTCTTTAAAAAAATTATCAAAAACTTAACTATCATTAATTCACGTCCTTAATCATCATTATTCCTTTAAAATCTTGTGATCTTAGAATTTTAATGTCATGTTTGTTTGGTCTCAAAGTGTCATTTTCTATAAAAGGCTTTAAAACCAATCCAAACTAATTATATCAAATCAATTTGAACCAAATCAATATGAACCAATCAAAACCGATTATAAATGATATTTGCTTTGGTTTTTTTCAGGCAAAATCAATTGTTTTAGTTTTTTTATTTTTGAAAACTTAAATTAAACCGAAACCAAAATAAATTTTATTATATTTATTATATATATATATATTTTAATAAATTTGCATAAGTTTTTTTTTTTCCTTTTCCAAGTTTGATTATTTTCAAATCAGTAGTAAAAATATGTTACAATTGACTAAATATTATCTACAATTTTTTTCAATAATTTTTAATTTTATAATCAAATGTTTTAAAGATAATATATTAATTTTTAATGGTTATATATGCTAATTAATTGTTAAAAAAATATTCTTTTGTGTTCAGTAGTTTTTTTTCATTGTGAATAGTAATTAGTAGTTTACAACTACCAGTGATCATGAATATATATTGATAATTATGAAAAATATTTTACAGGAAGTTTAAGTTTGATCTAAATGTAAACAAAACCAAACCAGCAACCCCAGATCAAAAATCAAAACAAACTGAGTATATAAAAAAACCAAATAGATTTCAAACTATAGAAAATCAATTTGTTTGATTTTTACTCAAAATTAAATCAAACCACCTTATAAACACTCTTAATAATCGACCTTAACTTCTTTTTATATAAGTTGGGTTTTACATCTCCCCGCGCAATTCATTGGACGATGCGTCGGGTGTAGTGCGCCTGCCACTATCTCTCACTACTCAGTCCAAAAGCCACAAAAGGAAATAAAACGAAAAAAGTTGCCCCCTCCATAACGAGTAATTATCCTTCTTTCACTAAAAAGTTCGTTTCCTTCCCCTCCCACACCACGTCCACATGCCTCCTCTCTCTCTCTCTCTCTCTCCTCTCTCTCTCTCTCTCTGTTTCTTCGCTTATGGACAATTTGTAGGTGGGGTTCATCTTCATCACACCCTTACCTAGGCTTACTTTTCAGCTAGGGTTGATTACTGGTTCTTGGCCGGTAAGCATCATTCTTTTTCTTGCAATCTTGCATTTCCTCTTTTAGACAACTAATTTCCTCCTTTAATTTTCTTTTCCTGTAATATTCCCATTCTCTTTCTCTTTCTTAACCCTTTTCTTCATATTCTTCTTCTTCTTGTTTAGTTCTGAACTCTTTCGTGTTTCACAGTAAGATTCATCAGCTTTTTCTGATTGAAAGCCCTCTGTGTTCTTCAAGGTTTCTCCTCACTTCTTTCTTAAGATTAGTTTTCTGTATTGCTCAATGGATCTGAGATATTGATTTTCTACTTCTATTTGGGAGAGAATTATGAGCCACCGCACTCCCTTTTACTGATTGGACACTAATATTCCTTTTTTTGTCACAAAATATCCAGTAATTTTATTTTCTGGAGAGTCTGAATTCTTTTCCTGATTTTTGGGTCTATTTTTGCTTAATCAGGAAATGACAAGGCAGAAGATAGAAATAAAGAAGATCGATAACATTACAGCGAGGCAAGTAACGTTTTCAAAGAGAAGAAGAGGGCTATTCAAGAAGGCTCAGGAACTTGCTACTCTCTGTGATGCTGAGATTGCCCTCATAGTCTTTTCTGCCACTGGCAAGCTCTCTGAATATAGTAGCTCAAGGTCTCTCCTTCTCTCTTCTTTTAGTTTCCTTTTCCTCACCTTCATGATGTACAGTTGAATGCTTTTTCCAGGTAATTATTGTTTAATTTTCATACGTATCTGCAACATTCGTAGTCGTGTACTTGTGCTTATTATTTTAATTTTATTTTAGGCTCATTAATCTAGACCAACAGGAGATTGACTACGAACGTGTTTGCTAGAAAATCTCATCAGCGTTATTTTCTGTAAAACACTGTTTGCAATCCTCATGATGGATTTAATTTGTAGCTCTCTCTTTTTAGAAATTTTTATAATCATCATCATCTTGGCTGACTTGCTTGTTATGAGAAGCCTCCCTATTCAGTTCTGTTGATTAATGGTAACCTTGACTTTATCAATAAGACAGACTTGAGAAATATATTTTCAAAACTCTGAACCTAAGGTTCTGGCATAATCCAATATAAATGTATGTCTCTCTCTTTCATCATAACAGAGGAAAGTGACTTTAAAAACTATTCTTTTATTGTTTTGATATCTAACCGCAAAGGTCATGCCAACGTGGTGTCATGTATGCTATAGTTAATTCATGTCCAACATGCCTGTCTGTATGTATCTTCGTTATCATATATTATAGAGTAAAGCAAGTATAAAAGCCACTGGACAAAGGGATGCTTTATTTTGAATGAGACCTTTTGATCATTTTAGAAAAAGAAACGTTTAGTGTTAAGCTTGCTTGAGAAAAAGATGGTGCTTAGGGTAATATCTGATTCACAAACATGATTAGTTTTCAGAAGAGAAAGCTCTTTCTGGATGTTCATTTAGATATAATAATGGCATTACACTCAACGCATTGATATACTAATCTCTGACATCACAGTGCACGTGTGAACTTTAAATTTCTATATTTGCATGAGTATTTGAGACATTTGTCATGCCCACACATGCATAAGTACTGAAACTTGCTTAGGATGAAATCTACCCCGGTTGTAAAAGTGAGTGAAGTTCAAAATATTTAAGAAGGAAGCAAAATTCTGAAACTACTTTGTGAGATTTGGCAAATTATACCAAATCTTTGTTGATGATATCAATGTTAAAACGCCCCTTGAATTATATATATAGGAGATCTATTAATTTTCCCGTCCAAGAGTTATAATAGTCCGATTCAATGTACTGAATTTTGAAGCTTTTGTTCTTGGATACGGTACTCTTCATTTCTGCAGACAAGCTTTGAAAATTACCATGATTAAATTGATTAGAAACACTAGAAACTCATAGATTAAGGAAACTCTTTATTGTTATCCCTTTTACTCATCTTAAATCCGTTAAGGTTGTGTTTGGATGGGTACATTAAGTTAGAAATTTGAATTTAAAATCTCATATTTGAAATCTCATTTAAAATTTATAGATTTTAAATTTTTTGTTTGGATGATATATGAAATTTCATATTATATTATTAAAATTCTTTGTTTGGATTTAAAGCAAAATTTTAAATTTTAAGTTCTATATTTAAATTTCAAAGAAACTTGGAAGACTGGTTAAAGTTGATGGTTCAAATGGCCAACTTCCATCCGGATCAGATAGTAAAAGTTGACTGGGACTATAGCATCGGCGACGATTGAGATGGGACGACTGACTTCCACCAGATGAGACTGACGGCGATGATGCTAATAGCACAGTGGCCTTCCACCGGGATCGAACCGACGGCGATCATGAGGATCGAATCGCTGGCTACCACGGGGACCATACGACTGCCTTCCACTTAGATTGAATGGCTAACTTCCATAGGGATTGGATCGACGGTGATGATCGGGACCTAATGGCCGACTTTCAATGGGATCGTATTGACAGTGACAGTCTAGATCAGACTAATAACGTCCAACATGACCAGACCAACAAGGACGATTGGATAGGACAACCGACTTCCACCAAAACCGGAAGGCTGACATCCATTGAGATTGGACCAGATGGAAGTCGGCTATTGGGTCCTCGTCGTTGCCATCGCTCTAGTCCTTGTGGAAGTCAGTCATAGGGTCCTTGTCATCACCATCAATTTGGTCCTGATTAAAGTTGGTTGTTCGATCCTGATGGTTGTTGTTGATCCGATCTAGATGGAAGTTGGTTGTCCGATCCCTGTTGTTGTCGTTGGTTCGATCTTAGTGGAAGTCGACCATCTAGTTCGAGTGGTCACCGTTGGTCCAGTTAAGGTAGAAGTTGGCCGTCAGTTTGGTCTTGGTGAAAGTCGATCGTCTAGTCCCAATCAACAGTGGCAGCTTGTTTTCGTCAACTTCGGCAGTCTGATTCAATTACTGTCAGTAAGTCAATCAAGTCTTTATAGATTTGGGTTAAATTCCAAAAGAGATTGAGCTAAGATTTGAAATAATAGGAGTTTAGAAAGGATTTTAAATTATAAAGAAATTGAGGTAGAATTTGGATTTGAGTCCAAATCCATACATTTTTAATTATCCAAATGGCTCAAATTTAAATCCAAATCCATATGTATCCAAACATAGCATAATTGTAAATGTGAATGATTTTGTTGTCCGGAGATATTTTGATCAAAACGTAAGTCACTATATAAGGTAGTGTTTGGGTTTTTTTTCCACCTCTTTTCATTGAGACCAAAACAAAATATATATATGTATATATACTAGAATATTTCCACCCTTATATCATAAATTAAAGACGCAATTAATGCAAGGTATTTACATCAATTCTCTGCATGACTGATTTGAAGAGTTGCCATTCTCTACATCATTTTAAGATTATTAATCTTTAACATGAAGTCGGATGGAATACTTTTTATATATATAATTTTGGTTGCATTGTTGAGAGGCTAGCATTGAGAGTAATGTAATTTTAATTGAATTGTTGAGGCTTGCATTTGATTGCATAATTACTGCTTTTAACGTACAACTTTTATTTCTGCTGCTCATTTAATTCTCGTCGTGCAAAATTGTTCAATATGCCTATTACTGCAGAGTTTAAAGAAGCTTGAATTTGAAATAATTGTGCTTCTATCGAAACTTAATGAATATAGAATGCTTCAAGCGGCTGGATAATGTGTATGTGTGTGTATGTGTGTGTGTTATGCTGTGTTATTGTCCTGAAGAACCTTAAATGCTAACAGTGTACTGGTAGGTGTAAGATTTCATGAACACGCTGTGTTTTCGGTTCTTATAGTGTGCAGCAGGTTATCGAAAGGCACGATCAGCACTCAGAAATTGAAAGATTATACCATTCATCCATTTTGGTAAAGATCATTATGCATAATTGTTTTTAATTATATTTTTTCTCAATATTTTCGCTCTGTTTTCTGCTTTAAATAATGTAAACGAGTGCGAGTGTCATGCATTACATTTAGTCTAAAAAATGAGACACCCTTCATGGTGCACCATATAAGAGCTTTTATAATATAAGTAGATATATAAATTGTTTCTGTCGAATTGTCCCGGCTAGTACGCTAGTTCTGTTCTCTAGGATTTCACAAAACTTATAGCTACTCAAGTTTCTTGATTATTTGTTTAATTACCTAGATTTTCTCTTTTCCAATTAATACGATAATTTAATTTATAAAGGAGTAGCAATAATGATGAAGTATTTGGAATTCGATGAGATGCAGAAGCTGCAAACTTAGCTATAGTGAAATGAAAATTCACTTCTGATCATTTATTATTTTTTCAGTGCAATGCTCAATTATTTAAATAAAAAAATCCCTAAGATGTGACTTTCAAAGGACTTGATCTTGATTTGATATATGGATAGGATTGTTCATAGGCCCTATAAAAAGAAAAAAGCTTCAAGTTCAACAACAACAAAGACAAACCTTATCTCTTTAGGTGTGGTTGGCTACATGAATTGTATGATGCCTTTGTGTTTTATCATCAACCAAGCTTTTATGGATATCATTAACTAAGGTTTCAATCAATAACTTCTATAAGTGTTTTCTTTGATCTTCATTTACCCCTCTTTATTAGATTCAAGATTATTCACTCTACTCTTCTCGTTGGTGCCTCCCATGTTCTTTAGTTAGCATGTTTAAATCATCTCAAATGATTTTCTACTATTTTCCCTTCAATAGATGCCATTCCAATGTATAATAAAATAATAATAAAAGATTGTGTTTCTACAGAAAATACATCATTCACTTTGCTTAACCTGAAATTCAATAGTACTGAACTTATGGAAATCTCTTCGGAATTTTATGCATAGTATGAAAAGGAAACCTTCAGCATTCTCAGCATGGAAGAAGCCAATAAGGTTCAGGAACTGAGGTATATAAATTTTTGTAAATGTACAATATTATAATTGTGAAGCTTTTATTTTGTGCCTTCCATATTATATATATTACTGAGGGGATGGCTATACCTTTTAATAATTGGAAGGCAGTTGAAAGGAGAAGAGCTTGAAGAATTGAAAACGAATGAATTAAAGAAGCTTGAAGAACAACTAGAAAAAGGTTTGAGCCGTGTTGTCAAAGCTAAGGTTTGCACTTTGTCCCTTAGTACACTACAAATTCGGATCTGATCTTATAGGGGTGCATCTAATTCAAATCATCTAACTAGGTCAGATTCGAGTATTGTCCAGTGCAATTGGAGTGTGTCCTTCACATTTATAATTATAATGAAGGGATTCGTGCATGCCTGTTTGCACATATCCTAAGGAAAGCACCAAAGAAATTTTGAAGTGATATGGCAAATAGATTTTTATACTTTCAAAAATCAAATATTGTTATACGCCCTTAAACAAGTTCTTCAAACGAAATGTTGATCTCAAGAGCTCAAAAGCTCATCATGTCAATTATGAAAGAGTTGGAAATTAAATAACATATGAAGTAATAGCATTAAGTAATAACTTTGAAGCTTTTTTCATTTTTTTTACTAGCGCATTATAAGTGATTGAACCCCCTCATTTAGTTTTTGAGCCCTTCCATTTGGAATTATTGAAATTTCTTGTCTGGATTAATTCTTGCATTTCAAAGTTTTTTGCATTTAAAATTACTTTATAGAAATTAATGTTACTAATCTTCACAACACACGGTGCTTGGTGGTTTTACAGGAAGAAATAATTATGAAAGAGATCAATGCGCTCAAGAGAAAGGTGAAATACATTCCAAACCTAATTATTGAAGGCTCATGTATATTTTTGTTATTGCTTGATGTTTGAAAAGAAAATGAAAATAACGATATCTAGTTAATGTCATGCCAGAAAAGGTACAAAAAAATTATATATCCATGGCTGAAATGTCTTCATATATATGATGGCCTGCCTCTGCGCAGGGAAGATTAAACCTAACTGAGTAACAGTGCTAAATTATTGGAAATAAATCTTGAAGGTTGATGATAAGGGACAAGATTAAGATAGAGAATTTGATATGCATGTAATTGAGGAAAAATCTAATAGTTTTATGCCTTTAAAAGATATGTCTCAATTACTTGGTTAATTAATCCTAAAAAAATAATATTTTATTCATAAAGAATAAATATCATACTGTTTGTTCTAAAACTTCTATGGATTGATATTTCTAGTATTCGAGAACTAAACAACTTAAATATGGAAAATTAATCGTTTACCTTGTAATTTTGAATCAATTACAATTTCAATTCTTGCAATTTAATTCAATGCAACTCAGTTTCTCAAGTTTTAACCATTTAATTTGGTGATCCCTACATTTAATGCTTCAGTTACAACTTAATCCTTGAAGAGGTTGATATTTTTTGAAAGTATAGGGACCAATTTATTAAATGGCTGAAACATTTGAGACTAAATTGAACTTTGTTAAACTTTAATGATTGAGTAGTAACTAAATCAACCAAAATTGTAGGAATTAAATGACTAATTTTCCTTGTGCACATGCATTTCAATTATTCGCTCCTTAAATATTAATGAAGAGAGTGAGCAAGATAGAGAGGAGAAAGAGAGAAATGATTTACAGTAAATTGTAGTCAGTGAAGAACTAGTCTGCCAGGCCATCTCATTCACAGAGATGTATAGGACAATTAGTACTTAGCTTCTCTGAGAATGCTTCCTTGTCTGTGCAGGGAATCCAGCTGATGGAGGAGAATCAGAGATTGAAACAGGTGATCCGTGTTTTGAATTATTTGCACAGTAAATCAGTGTTAAAACGATTAAGTCCCTAATCCAAGTTTCATCGATTAGACCATAATTGATCCGAAGTCAAACCATTCGTCATCAAAATTAACATGCTTTAAGTTCTATGAACTCCTTTCTGGTCCTAATTATTGTGTAATATTAATCCACTTCAATTTATGGTTCTTAACGAATGATAGTTAATGTGCTTTAAGTGCAATTACATCTTTGCCTTATATTAGTTAGATGCTTCACTGTTCAAAGCTCCTTAGTTATGACTTATGAACAATGCAACCTCCATTACATTTTATGTACATATTAATTCATAATATATGCATGTTAAAGGAAAAATCAGTTTTCACCAATTTTTGACCTGTTTGATTGGTTTTGTCCGGTTTTGAAAGAATTTTCGAATTGGACCAAGGTATGGTGTTCACCAGTTGAACCAGCAGGTCCAATTAATTAACATTGATTGTTTCAGATTGGTGGCAAGAATCTGAAGATGGAAAATTTGTGTTTAGGTGACGAAAGTTGGACAAAAACAAGGTCAGTCATCTGAGTCAGCAACTATCGGCAGCACATCTGATCCTCTCCATGAGGATCATAGTTCAGACACCTCTCTCAGATTGGGGTTAGTATAGCAAACTTAACTGTTCATTTTTGAGATTTCTCATGAACAAGCATGTCAAGAAAATGCAAGAATTTATTCAATTCTCTTGAGATGGCTGATTATTGACAGACATGAGATTACGTGATTACTTGTTTCATTAAAAACACATCCTGAAGGTCAACAATTAACAGGGAGAATAATTAAGAATTCATATTCATGCAAGTTATATATAAATATATATAAACTCTTCCTGTTTTCAAATATAAGAGAAAAATAACCAACTTACACAGTTTCAAAAAGTTGGTTAAGTATAATAATTATGTCTGAAATTTAAAAAATTAAACTAAATTAGTCTTATTATTAATAAAATAAATTTGTATCGTCAAAATAAATATTGACTTTATAAGGAGTAATATGGTAAAAGTATGATAAATGCTTCTTGAAATTTATAGTTTTGCTTATTAAAAAAAAAAAAGAGACGTGATAGTTTATAATTAAAAACGGATGGAGTATCGACGATTGACAGTAAACAGTTTGAACTAAAAAGCATTTTTTTGGGTTCGTATTATATGAGCTCCATTGTCCACAGTTTTCTTTCCTTAGCGTATTTATTTTTGACCTGTGGAATGTGGATATTTCAAAAATGAAGTCTTTTGTATGTATGTCGGAGCGTAGTAAATCTATGTATGTCTGATCATAATCTAGTGTCTGTTTCTTTGGGTCCCCCCCCCCCCCCCAAAAAAAAAAAAAAAGATATAGACATCTTCAAGTAAGAGAGGTACATGTAGAGAGAAATTGGTGGGTCTTACTCTCGAACACGGAACGTTTTCATTTCCTTATCATCCTTGTCTCTCCACTTTTCTAATCAATCATAATCATTGATATCACTGCATTAAGTGAATATATTTTAGCCGTAAATTTGATGAACGATTGTGATTACGAAATTGGAGAGAAAAAGATGATAAAAAATGGTTTACTAAAATAATCTCTCTCTCCACCTGTACATTAGATCCACTTGAAAATGAAATCCAATTCTTAATCTATTGTGCATCAGACTAATGTGAGACTTGCCCATGAATGCAAGAAATGGTAGTGATCAGGCAACTGTGCACGCACATACCATAATTAGGTATATCTATGGTTTCTTGATTGTTGATGGAACACAATGATATCATGCGATAGATCTATGCTTATGGTTTCTTAGTTATTGATAGAATACAATAATATTGTGCAATTTATGTTTATATATGGCTTCTTGATTGTTGATAGAACACAATAATATCATGTAATTTATGTAGTTGACTTTAGGTTGTGAGATAAAGCATGCTTTTGTTTGGCATCTTGTCAAAAGTTAACCAGAGTGTTTTTTATCTGTTGCAGATTGTCTTTGTTCAACTAATACATTAAAAAAAAAAAAAAAGATGTGAGGCGACATGGCAAATACATCACAAATTTAATTAACCATTGTCGTGTACGGGACAATTCCCCCATTATTATTTCATAGCAAGTTTGCTTAATTTTTATGTAAGTAGTTTTTTTTATTATATAAATGCGAGCAAATGATATGTGTATATATAATATATATACGCACGAGAATGGTGTCGTAATTTTGAATACAATTTTGTTTCCCTCTCTTGCTTCTTGCGAATGTTTTTGTTTTTGTTCTTTGTTTTTTGTTTTTGTTCCAAATGGAAACTGAAACTTATATATTCAACCAAAAAAAAAAAGGTGAATAATTGAAGATACAGAATCATTTTAGAATCTCTCAAATGTATGTTAGCACAGACACGTGTCCGACACAACACAATTTGATATGTAAAATATGACAAATTTTAAAATCTTATGCCATGCAAAACAAAAAATAGTCAATCTATAATACGAAGTAAAAGTAGGTATTAAATATTCTCAAAATTATCTAAATAACTTAAAACTGGAACATCTCTATTCTCTCCTTAATTGTTCAAGACAAACATATTGGGCCCACAATAATGCCATAACAATGCAAGGTACTCCCTCTGATCTCATTTATAAGGTATATTTTAAAAGATTTATTTAGTTTTATTTATAAATTATGGTGTGATTTTTTAGATAATATTTAAAATATATTTTTAAAATTATCTTTTATGAAAGAGAAAAAATAACTTGACATTAGGTTTTGGATTTGTTATATGGGGGCATATTTATAATTGTACACACTTTTATTCCTTATTTCTTATTGTACTATGAGCAATAAAAGAAAAAGCTATACTCTCTTCATTCAAAAATATAAGATATTTTTAACTGAATTTTATTCTTCAGTAAAGTAATTACTTATCTTCAAACTAAGCTTATTTTTTTATATTTAATAGGATGTTTGACCTCAAAATAAATATAAAGTTATTTATTCAATAAGAGCACTTTAAAAAGAGAGAGGCAATTATTACATTTAAAAAAAATTAAAAATGCATTACATTTTTTAACATTCAATCTCCTAAAAAGTATCTTACATTTTTTTAATGCAAGTAATATATCATTTCAATATGGTAATAACCTCATCCTCTTCTTTTCTAGTACTAGCTAGTTGTGTTTAATAATGACTAGGGACTAATTTGAATGAAAAATTGGGCTAAAACAACCTTAGTTATATACTCGCTTCAATCTTTATTATAAGACATTTTCAACAATTTTATATATTTTTTAAAAAAATTAATTCTTACATCATCCAAAAAATAATATGAAATTTCATTTTTATTCTTAATTTTAAATCATGATATAATTATATTAAATATTTTTATGTTAATAAAGAAATTTAAAAAATAGTTTAATATAATTACAAATATATTATATTTTAAATAAAATTTACTTTTAAAATGTGCCTGATAAACCACATGTGTCTCCATTCAATCACGAATAAAACTAATAATAACTTCATTGGGTTGCAGACGAAAGCTGCACTTGACCAATGACCATCCAATACACGTAGTTGATGTGCTTGCAGATGAAATTATTGAAGAAAACATGCGTTGCCTGAGTGTCACATGTTAGACTAATAAATGCAAGGGTTTGTTTGGCAAAAATTGTTTTTTTTTTAAAAGAAAAAGATTAAAAAATTGTTTGAATAAATGTTTTAAATTTAAATATTTTTAATATTATTCTTATTCTTTGTTGCTAAAAACAAAAATAGGAACATCTTTATTCTTCATTTGATTATTGAAGAAGATAGTGAATTTGTCGATAGTAATCAAAACCAAAAGTTTTATTTTTCTTGTTTTTAAAACACATTTCATTTGATTATTAAAAAATAGTTAGCTTAACCAATATTTATCATAAATCATTATCATTAATTTCTTACAACTACCATTATCAACCTATGTCTAATTTTTTAAATTAACATAACCAAACATAATTTTTTTCAAACAACAATTTTAAAAATTGTATTAAAAATAATTTAAAAAAATAAAAATAAAAGCAAGCCCTGAGGTCATATTCAATTACTTGTTTTTAGAACTTTTTTTATTTTTAAAAACAAAAAATGTTTGAAAATGTATTTTCTACAATCTATTTTGGAAAATAAAAAGTTAAAAGTTTTTATGAAAAATTAAAAAGAGATAGAACATCTTTTTTATGTGTTTTTTTTGTTCTTTACAAATAAAAAAGATAGAAATATCATGTTTTTATCAATGCTAATTATGTTAATAAATTAAATAATTATTTTACCTTTATTTCATCACTTTAGATATGTCTTTCAAAATAATAATTTAAACATATATCTAAATATTTTATTTCCAAATTTTATTCTTATATAATTTTTTAAAATATAAAAAAACAGAATATAAAAAGCCCCATCACTCCTCTGCTTTAAAAATATTTTGTAAATAAAAATATATTTTAAATCTTTATTGGTTAAAAAAAACATTCTGAAAAGAGAAACAAACATGTCCGATTGGGTAATCCTTGGGATTTTGTTATTTTAAAGGACGAAGCCAGGCCTAGGGTTGTGTACGGCGAGAATAGCGATGAAACTGGAGGAGTACGAGGGCACACAAAAATCAGAAGATCAGAGCTGTTACGGTGATGGACACGTGGGCCTCTGTACGGCAAAGCAACGTTACATCGATATCACCATAAATGGACGCACGCAAACAACCTCCACCCTTCAACTATCCCTCAATAATTAATTTTAGCCTTTCCTATTGTCCCCAACATTTTCTTCTTGGACAAATTACAACCAAGGATCATTACAGAATATTTGTTGCTTTGCAAGACCAAACAATTCTAAAATTACTATACAGGATGAAGGAATTTAAACATAATTAAAATTTGTTGTGATTAGGCCTCATATGTATATGTGTGTGCATTAAAAATTCCACCACAATCACTGGCAGTTGAACAGTCACTGATAGTCACCAAAGCTCTAATGCTTGTTGTCAAACCACCACCTATCGCTAGAGCTCTAATGAATAAGTTTTTATTTGAAAAAAAAATCTCATTTTTATTTTAACAATAATCAAATTTTCTCATTAATAACTTTATAAAATTAATTTAATAGTGAAGGAGAACAAGCATTATGATATAGGGAATAAATCTTCATTTAAAAACATAAGTTTTTTACCATGTCTACTTGATGGTTACCCCCTCCATAGGTTACCCCCTCCATCTTTATATATATATATATATATATGGTGTTTTTTAAAAGTTTATTTTGTTCCTAAATATAAGAGGTGGCAATTATATTTTTCAATAATTAAACAATTTTACTCTTGTCTTGAAAAAATGAAATAGATCATTAATTGTATATTTTCTCTACCATCATCATGATATTAATTATAATATTATTAAGGGTAAAATTAGAATGAATCATTGTGTTTTTATGTGAGTTCAACCAAATAACAAATTTTTATTAATATGCAGGATTTAATTAAAAACACTTTATATATAAAAATAAAAAAAATATTTGATAACAACTGTCAAGCATTTGAAAATAACTTAATAATTATTACCAAACAACTATCAAATATTTGTCCAAATATCAAACTTAAAAAAAATATTTAAAAATTATTATCAAATAACCATTAAATAAAGTGATATATAATAATATATGACATCACTTTATTTATCGGTTAAACTAAGACAACTAAAAGTAACAGTCTAGCGTCGCCTTTTCTTTTTGACCAATATCAAGTATCCCATGTCATGTGATAGTGACAATCAACACAAAATAGACGAAGGAAAGAAAAGAATGTGAAATGAACTTATTGTGAAGTCTCTGGATTTGACATTTTTTTTTTAAAATGCCATAATGACTACTTCGATTGAGGCTCTTAACAAAGAACTTAAAAAAAAAAAAAAAACCTTCACTAATGACAATTAATTTTTTCAAATTCATTTTATCACTTCATATTAAAGAGTAAATGTAGCTAAATGACTAGATCCCGTTTAATTACTAGAAAAAAAATGAAATAAATTAAATTGAAAAAATTAAAATAAAAATAAACTGAATTACTTTTCCCTTATGATAAACATGATAAAATTCACTAATATATATTACAAATGTGAGAATTATCACATTCTTTAAAAATATCATGAATCATGATTTTCAATTTCATGAACTAAATTATCCCTCTCCTTGTGAATGTGCTCACCTATCTCCCCTGATCATCTTATTTTTATTATTTTTATTTATTTATTTTATTTCATTCCATTTATTTTTAGTAAACAAACGTGACCTAGTTAAATAAAACAATGATTACTTCATTTCAACGAATGACAAAAATAACAATTTAACCAATGCCGACTAATATATATATATATATATATATCAATTCAAATGGAAATTAGCAAGTGATAAAAATATTCTTGAAAATTACTTGTGACTAGTTAAGGTTTTCTTCTTTTAATTTACTGAAATCATTGCTTTAATTCCTTAAATAGTAATTCAACTGTAAGGACCCCATTAACTTAAACAATATTTAATAATATAAAATTGAGAAAATTAATTGTGATTGGTTAATCATTTTTTGTCATTTGATGATATGAAATAATCATTGCTCCAACTTAACTACTCCTTGACCGCTTCCAAATAATATAGTGACCATTACTTTAAGGACAATGTGGTCCGGACAGATTATGTCTAACATTTTATGACCAAAACACTATGTGATTTGGGTTTTGAGACCTTACCAATGTTTGGAACAATGTTTGATGCATTTTTCCATGCTATGCCGGTAATCCAACACATCCAACGATGTCATAATTAAATAGATTTAGTGAATGGAGATTTGATAATCAAATGGACAATTAGGATTAATTCATTAAATGTTCCAACAACAAAAAATATGTTTTATTTTACAAATACAATATATAGAGCTTGTATATACTCCTATTGTTCAAAAATATAAAGTATTTTTTGAGGAGTTAGATGTTTAAAAATATAAGGTATTTTTAGTCTTTTAAAATGTAATCGTTGCTTTTTTTTTTTTTCAAAAGTACATCTATTGATAATGACTTTATATTTATTGTAGAGTATTTAATACGGGTAAATTTGAAAATATAAGGTTAGTTGAAAAGTAGGTAACTACTTTATTGAGAGTTAGATTTATTTAAAAATATCTTACATTTTTAAACGAAGAGAGTACCATTTACACTTGATAAAGAGGTGCGGTATGAGAACATACATTAACCATTCAAAATCCTTAAAAATTTTCTAAAGTACTCATAACTTATTTATGAATAAGGTCTCCATATATTGGCATTTGAATATTTTCTGAGAAATTCTTAGATAGACCAAATGAGCCACTTTATTTGTGGTCTGTT